TACCTCGCGCACCATTGACTGATATCGTCGGGTGCCTTCCAAAAATGACAACGCCCCCTGGCAAGTCAAGAACCACGCCGAGCTGACCGAGCATCTCCACTGGGGGCAATAGGGGCACATCGCAGGCAATCAAATGCACCGCGAGGAAAAGCACAGTTCTTTGCCGCGGCTACGGGGGAAGTCCAACCGGGTAGAAACTTGGTGGGCCCGCCGACGCCCATGGCGTCCATATCAAGGGTCGGTATCTGCACTGGCTGGAAACCATAGGCATCTCCAGGGCCCCCCACCATTTTCTCAAACTGATATTCGCCGCAGACTCCACGCTGAGCTCCAGCGCGGACCAAACTGAAACCCATCTGGACATTAACTTCGATCAAAGTCTGTTCGTTCGTGTCGGCAGTAGCACAGATAGCAAAGGTGGAAGAAGTAACTCCAGACTGCGTCGCATGCCCCCGTTGACAAGCGTCGTGCAGAACGTCGTCTGCTTCGAGAGGGGCGGCCTGGAAAACGCCGCAACCTGCTTGCAGTTTGCGCCCTCGCTCGACAGACTCGTTCGCGCGGCCCCGAGCCCGGCGCCCCATCTCCCCGCGTCGGGCACGCTTCGAGCGCCTCATCAACATGCTGTTGGTCCAGCGCTTCGGTCGAGCATGTCCAATCCGCTCCCGTCGACGATTTCCCTCGCGGAAACTTCCGGACTTGCGTTTCGGAAGAGACTGTTTGAAGAAACCTCGTCCAGGCTTCCGCTTGCGCAAGTATTGTCGCACCTGGCTGTAATTGGCGTAGATGGCGACGGCCTCCTCTTCGTCCAAAATCACACCGTCGGGCGTGTCTCCAGCTACGAAAAATACGTCTTCGTCGCCCGTGCACCCGAGAGCCTCATTCAGGACGTCGTATTCTTCGTATGGGCTCTGGCAAGGTAAACAAGGACTGTTCCATGAGAGATCAGTGAAAGTCATCATGCTCAGACTGCTGGTCATTATATCTGGCCTCGTCCCCTTGGTATCCGACGAAGTGCGAGGCGGACTTCATTCCATGAATGCGATGGGTCGCCTTTGCCTGGAGATAGTGGTCGTTCACGCTTACGGAGCTTCTCACGCACCGCGTAAAAATCATTTGATCCCTCATTCCAATGCTCAACCGTATCCCACGCGGCTCTACTGAGCTTGGATCCTCTGCAACTGCAAGGCACCATGTGTGTTTTTTTCATTTTTTCCCGGAAAGGGCATCGGCCCAGGGTTCTCTTTTAGTAGGTAAACCTGTCCCCCGGTGCCAACTTGAGGGAGGCCGGCGAATTTTTTCCCTGATAAATAACGAGGTCGAAGGAGGCCGGCGAATTAAAATTTGAGGATGTCTCGAGCGAAACGCTTGTTTTTGAAATCCCGATCGATAAATCACAGGGTGCGGGCCACTTTTTCGTGTGTTGAGGATGTCTCGAGCGAAACGCTTGCTCCGCAGAGTTTGCCGAGGATGTCTCGAGCGAAACGCTTGTTTTGCAGAGCCGACCGCGACGCGGAAAAGCGCCCCGCGCGAAGGAATTTCGATGATGTCTCGACTAATTCGTTTGTTTTTGTACGATTTCCTGGAATTTTGGCAGGATGTCTCGAGCGAAATGCACGACCCCACCCTAGCACGACCATACCCCAGCACGACCACACCCCAGCACGACCAGACCCCAGCACGACCCCACCCCAGCACGACCCCACCCCAGCACGACCATACCCCAGCACGACCACACCCCAGCACGACCCGACCCCCCTACCCCAGCACGACCACACCCCAGCACGACCTCACCACAGCACGACCACACCCCAGCACGACCACGCCCCAGCCACGCACGACCACGCCCCAGCACGACCACCCCCCAGCACGACCACCCCCCCAGCACGACCACCCCCAGCACGACCACCCCCCAGCACGACCACCCCCCAGCACGACCACTCCCCAGCACGACCACACCCCAGCACGACCACACCCCAGCACGACCACACCCCAGCACGACCACACCCCAGCACGACAGCACGACCACACCCCAGCACGACCCGATCGATAAATCACAGGGTGCGGAGCACCCCAGCACGACCCACCCCAGCACGACCCCACCCCAGCACGACCCCACCCCAGCACGACCACGCCCCAGCATGACCACACCCCAGCACGACCACACCCCAGCACGACCACTCCCCAGCACGACCCCACCCCAGCACGACCCCACCCTAGCACGACCACACCCCAGCACGACCACACCCCACCCCAGCACGACCCCACCCAAGCACGACCACACCCCAGCACGACCACACCCCAGCACGACCACACCCCCCCAGCACGACACCCACAAGCCCAGCACGACCACCCCCCAGCACGACCACAGCACGACCCCACCCCAGCACGACCACGCCCCGCACGACCACACCCCAGCACGACCACGCCCCTGCACGACCACCCCCTCACGACCACACCCAGCACGACACCCCCCCAGCACGACCACGCCCCCACCACACCCCAGCACGACCAGCACGACCACAAGCCCCAGCACGACCACACCCCAGCACGACCACACCCCAGCACGACCACAGCACCCCAGCACGACCCCCCCACACCTAGCAAGACCACACCCCAGCACGACCACACCCCAGCACGACCTCACCACAGCACGACCACACCCCAGCACGACCACGCCCCAGCACGACCACGCCCCAGCACGACCACGCCCCAGCACAACCACCCCCCAGCACGACCACCCCCCCAGCACGACCACACCCCAGCACGACCACCCCCCAGCACGACCACACCCCAGCACGACCACTCCCCAGCACGACCACACCGCCTTGGTTGAGTGGTTGCCTGTCGTCGTGGAATGTTTCGTGGGGTGTCTCGTGGAATGTTTCGCGGGGTGTCTCCTGGAATGTTTCGTGAGGTGTCTCGCGGAATGTTTCGTGAGGTGTCTCGTGGGATGTTTCGTGAGGTGTCTCGTGGGATGTTTCGTGAGGTGTTGCCCCGTTGGGTATCGTGAAAACGTGCCCATGCTCCACATGTCTATATCCCTTTCCGGGTTCGTGGGTCCATCATGTTTCAACTCCTCTGGTAAGGTCCCGTGCTTATCAAGTTCTCGGCGGAGCACTCGCACGTCATCAATATAACTGACAAGAGGCGCGTCTCGCTCACGCTTGGCGTCGTCAAAACAGAAGAGATTTCCAAATGCCTTCGGCATCCTGCGGTCTTGGTTTTCGGCGAAACCCTTCTTGATGTGTTTGACTGCGACCTGCCCACTGCTCCCCAAAAACAACTGGTGTGCGGTAAACTCGTTGATGATAACCTTGAGGTCGTCTCAAGCGTACCGGTAGATGAGGTACCCATGTTGTCTCTTCAAATTTCTGGTAGTCGTGAGCCACATCTGCAGCTCCTTCATGTTTGGGTATACCCGCGGATCGAGATATTGTCCATCCCAGGTGGTCGGTAATTCATTTGGTATATTTGGGGCCTCCCGTCGTTCAGGGCATTGAACTGTCCCCTCGGGTGACCAGAAGATCTGGCAATAGCGTCTCCAAAATGAATCGGACTGAACGGCGTAGCGTGTCCCCGCAGAGGCGCGTTCAACCGAGTTGATGCAGCGGGAGAGCCACGGCCCCGCACGTTCCAACTTGATGGGGATGACTGCATATTGGGCTGCGTATCCGCCTTGGGTTGCGGGAGCCAGCGTGCCCAGTCTTCATCTGACCAGCCCACTTCGTCATCACCGTCCCTGGGGGCGTCTTCTCGTCCTCCGCCCCAAGGATCTTGTCGTAGATGCACCCAAAGATCATCCGGAAATTCGTCCTCGGGAAGCTGAACGTCGGCTGGGCGATGCATGGCGGCGCTCGGCGCAAGACGGTGGGAAGCGGGAGACAAGGAGAATAATATGAAACATGTCACCCGAGAGCCCCAAGAAAGGCCAAGAGGCCCCCAAGAGGCCCCCAAGATGGTACACGAGGGGTCCGACATGCCACAAGATCGCTCCAAGACGCCCAAGATAGCCCCCAGACGCCCCAAGAGGCCTCCAAGAGCACTCCCAATAGGGCCCCCGGAGGCAAAAATCATTGTTTTTCCATAGGTTTTTGAGAGATTTTGGAGCTTCCACCTTTTCGGCTTCCCGACGCCCCAAGACGGCCCAAGAGGCCCCCAAGATCGCCCCAAGAGGGCCCAAGAGGCACCCAAGAGGGCCCCAAGATGGCCCAAGAGGGCTCGAAGACGGCCCAAGAAGCCTCCAAAACGGTCCAAGAGGGCCCCAAGAACGCCCCCAAAGGGGCCCCAGAGAGGGAACACGAAACAACATTTCGAGCCCTCGGCCCTAAGAAGCCCCTACGAGGCCCCTAAGAGGCCCCAAGAGGCCCCCACGGGGCCCTCAGGAGGCCCCCAAGAGTCCCCCAAGCGGCCCCAGGAGGCCCCCCAAATGCCCCCCCGAGCGCCCCAGGAGTCCCCAAGCGGCCCCAGGAACCCCCAAAGCGCCGCATTGACACCAGGCCCTCGGGCAAACGGCAGACATGAGACTGTATGGGCCGGCGGAATGAGCGAAGCGATTAATAATATGAAACATGTCACCCGATTGTCGGGTGGCGGGAAGTCAACCTGACTCCCCTCGTGGATCGAAAACCACGCGCTCCGCTGCCATTGTGGAATGTACGGGGACTTACTGTATGGAATACAGGGAAACAAAAAAGTAAAAATAGGGGGACCTGTGCTGTAAAGGAGCACGTTCTCTTTCCTTTTACGGGGGCCCGGGCGCACCCGTCGCCTGCGCGCCAGATGACCCAAGGGCCCTTGTGAGCCACAACGGCGGCACACAAGGGAGGTGGGACGGAGGCGAAGGAGGAGGAGAGGCTGAAATACACATGACAACCACAAGGAAGAAACAAACATAATAGTAATAAGACCATGTCTCTCACGGCTTCCCCCGAGAGATTATTTAGGAGATTGGGGGCCTCTTGGGCCGTGATGGGCATCGTGGGGCCGTCTTAAGCCATGTCGGGGCAGTCGTCCATATTTATCGGACCGTCTGGTGAGCGCATTCGGCATCCGCAGAAACGCCAGCAAACGCCAGTGCTCGAGTGGCATAACGAGCGATCCGCTGAACAGTCTCCTGTGCTGAAAAACTAAACCATCAGAAGTACAGGCAATGCGACATGGATATGATGAGGGGGGATGGCATAGAAAGACCGGCCAACTCTTGAATGAAGATGCGCATCCTGCTTATAGACATGCTGCCGACTCCTGGTTATAGGCATGCCGAACTGGTTACAGGCACGCTGAACTGCAACCTGACACGCACATGCGCGAGAGGCACCCTGAATGATTCGCTGAAGAACCTCTGCACTGCAGAAGTTGAGGGCACGGAGAGCAGGGAAACCAGAGGGGAGGTGGGATTAGGAACAAGAGCGGGCAGCTTCCAAATGACGATGTATCACATGTAACTCAGCCAGGAGAAATCAGCAGGAGGGCAAGACACGTAAGAGGGAGGGGGGCGAGGGAGTAGGATGATTTGTAAACCGAATGTGCATGTTGAAAAGCACTACCATTTGGCAGACGAGCTCCTGAGTTTAGCCATGCTGAGCAGACCGCACTCGGATCTCGAGGGGGGCAGGGAGAGCATGGATATCACAAGGGAGGTGGGATGAGGAGAACGAGCGGGTAGCTTCCGAATGACGATGCGTGTGAAAAACTGTGGGGTCCACAAATGGACGTCACCTGGAACTCAGGCTGTCAACATGATACGCCCAGCCGCGAGTGGCAAACCGACTGACGCGCTGAAATTGTGATGCTAAAAACCAGAAAACAAAGTATACTGAAAGGCAATACACGCGCCGAAGAGACATAAGGGATTGAGGACAAACTGGCTGAGGAAATTGTCTGGCAACAACTTGTTCATTCCCCGTCGGCTTGCTACACCCACGTGGCAAGCTGGCGAGGTGCCGAAACGCCAAACAACTCCAACCCTACGGGTTGTGCTCTGTACAGCGCCACCAACTCGCCTGGGCAGGACGTGGCACTAATTAGTTCGTCAGTTCGGCAATGTGCAAGAAAGGATCTACTACGCCACCACCCGATTTACGTTACGATTCCGCGCTGCTGGCCCATCGTCCCGCCGACCCGCCCTGCTAGCAACTGTGCGACAACAGACCTTGCATAAATAAATGATGCGATCCAAGCCGTCGCAAAACGGATGAGGACGGAGGAGGAAACATGCGCGACCAAGAGTGCGGAGCGGCCAACATTGGGAGGCCACATGTTTTTGGTTTCCGAATGCTCTCCTGCACGTCCCCCTACTCCCCAACCTTGACAAAGTCGGCAGCGAGATCGAGCTTGACTGAAGGGACGGACACACGGCAGGGTCCCTTGCGTGGTGAGCGGCGCTGAAAATGTGCAGATCGCGAATTCGATCTTACTGCTTTCACGGCTTCGCAGCCAGAATGTGCACTGACGCTCAGGAGCGAGGGCAGTGATTCTTCGCAGCTGGGGCTCACCTCCGTCGCTGCATTGCTCTGGGGCCGACGCGCAGCCCTGCCCTCGCTGCAGCTAAGCCCTGAAGATATCTCAGGCCTGACACTCTGCGTCTGGACTCCGCCCAGTGCCACCCATGTTGAGGCTCTGATCAAGAGCTGGAGTGAGGGAGGAGGAGGAGGAGGAGGAGGAGGAGGAGGAGGAGGAGGGAACCAGGCGGAGGAAGCCGTACTCAAGCGTCCTCCTGGGCCTCCTCCTGGGCCCCCTCCCCAGTGTCGACGAGGAACCCCGCACCGCGCAGCTCGAGGAGCAGCGCGTCCACTAAGGACTTCTCGCGCGAGGCCTGTGCCCCTACCTTTCTTTGCAGCGCGTCTATCAGCACCCGCATGGACAGGGCCCCAAGAGCCCTCTCCAGAGTCCGAAGCTCCCGAGGCTTGAGCTGGCTACCAGCGGCGGCCTGGTCAGGTGGGGCGCACTGCTGGCTGGCGTACGCCTTGAGCGTGTCCGTGGCCAGGCTCAGCATGGTCATCTTCGTCTCGATGATTGGCAGCAAGATACCGAAGCACTCAGCCGTGGTCGCCGCCCCCAAGGTCTTCCTGTGCCGCCTCCCAAGGTGCACGGGACGGACCGGGTGCTCGCAATGGCAGAATTTGCACCCGCCGCCATTCGCGCACTCCCCCCGCAAGAAATAGAGGCACGGCCGGACGCACATTTCAGGGTGGCCCATGCTCCCGGCGTTGTTGTGGCGGGCACCCCTGGCGCTGGCGTGGAGGCCAGCAGGTGCTGCGGGGGCCTCCTCGCCCGCGGGCGCGCTGGGGTCCTCGATGCCGGCGGCGCTGTGGCTGGACTGGGACGTGGACGGACCGTCCGTCTGCGGCAGGGGGTCCGCGTGTTCCCTCACCCGCACGCAGGCGGTCAAGGTAGTGGCCGGCACTTCACGGGGATCGTCCACGTGGGCCACGGCGTGCTTCACGTTCGCAGTGGTCGTGCGCCTCAAGGACCGCATCGTTTCGGAGTGCATATCGTTCACAGCCTCCACGATATGTAGTTTGGCATCTGTCAAAGCACGGCGACTCACCCCCGCGTCGTGCGGCAGGATGCTCAACACGTGGTCGCAATGCCTGATCGCCTCCCGCTTGGACTCTTGCACGGCCTGGTCGACCGCCTCCCCAGTTATCTGATCCAGTTTCTCGGGAATGGTCCACAACTCCCTCACCACACGGTGATACATTTCCCGACTCTCAGGGGTATTGCTCTTGACCATCTGAATGATGGTGCTGAGCTTCAGCCGTATCACTTCTTCCATTGCAACTAACTTAGAATCAAACGAGCTCCTGACGATCTCTGGGATTTTCTTCAACTGACCGATGGAAAACTCGACGATGTCTTCGTCCCCACCACTGCGGTGAATGGCCGTCTGCACCAAGTTCAGGTCGGTCTTCACGTTCTCGGCAAGGCTCTTAGCTTTGTTCTGCACAACGCTGCTCAGCTGCTCGGGAATGTGCGCAATGGCCTCTGCGGCTTCCGACAAACACAACTTTTCGAGGCTGTTCCTCATCGTATCCCTACTGTTCGAGGCGTAAGCTTCTTCCATGTCCCTCGACACAGCGCAGCCGTGCAGAGGCTGGCGGCGTCAAAAGAAAGCGTTGCAGCTGGAAGAGGACTCGCTGCAGGGACCGCTGGAAGGAAGGGCGAGAACTAAGTGAGCCCTGGCGCTCGAAGTGACGCAGCTCGATGCACTTGGCCTTCAACGACAACTTCTCGCGGCCTTCCCTGGTCGCCACGCCTCCGAGACTCTGCCTCGTGGGCACTACTTCACTGCCCTCCGAAAGGCCGCTGCCTTTCGCACCCGCACGAGTACCCGTGCGGCCGTTCGCCGTAAGGTTGCAGGTGACGATTGGGGACGCGGTGCCGAGTTTGAGCCAAAACGGCTACGGATTGGCGAGAGCGCCTTGTTGACGAACATTGCTTGTGCTCCCTTCCTTCAGTATGCCCGTCCGTAGTTGCATTTGGGCTCAAGCTCGCTTGGGTCTCTAGCACACGAAACAATCGAAAACAATTCGACTCCGAGACTGCATGGCCATGCCTAGCTCGTCCGCCGCTGGGAGCCCGCAGTCCATCCACGGGGTCCACAATGCTGTCGCTTAGGGACCAGCGGCGACAGAGCTTGCGCCTTGCACGTTCGACCGGCAAGTGATTTTCGATTTGGACGGGAGGGCCGTCGAACTCCGGCGCGCTGATGTCCGAAACGCATTGCTGCAGAGCTTCCCAGAGGAGCTCGGCGAACTGAAGGCAACAATTCCAACGTGCGTGCGCAAGATATTGGAGCATTGGTTTGACCAGGCGTGGAAAGACGCCGTGAATCTCGAACCTGATTATTGGGAGAGTGGTATTGTTCGAGGTCATCGAAACCTGTGCGGGGTGTGCCAAAATTGTGGGGTTGCGGCATGCGGGCGCAGCCACTGGCGCCTTCGGTGGAGCTCCCGATGGGACCACGAAAAGTGCGAGGGATGTGCTAAAGTGAGGGGGGTGGCGGCATGCGGGCGCAGCCACTAGCGCCTTCGATGGAGCTGCATATGGGGCCACGAAACGTGTGAGAGTTGTGCCAAAGTGAGAGGGGGTGGCGGCATGCGAACGCAGCCACTGGGTCTTTCGGTGTAGCTCTCTATGGGGCCACGAAAAGTGTGAGGGATGTGCCAAAGAGGGGTGGTGGCGGAATGCGGGCGCAGCCACTGGCGCCTTCGGTGGAGCTCCGCATGGGGACACGAAGCGTGTGAGGGGTGTGCCAAAGTGAGGGGGGTGGCGGCATGCGGGCGCAGCCACTGGGGCCTTTGGTGGAGCTCCCTATGGGGCCACGAAGCGCGTGAGGGGTGTGCCAAAGTTAAGGTGGTGGCGGCATGCGGGCGCAGCCACTGGCGCCTTCGGTGGAGGCCCTTATGGGCCAGAAAAGGTGTGAGGGGTGTGCCAAATGAGGGGGGGGCGGCATGCGGGCGCAGCCACTGGGGCCTCCGGTGGAGACCCCTATGGGGCCACGAAACGTGTGAGGGATGTGCCAAAGTGAGGGGGGTGGCGGCATGCGGGCGCAGCCGCTGGTGCCGTCGGTGGAGCTCACTATCGGGCCACGAAGCGTGTGAGGAGTGTGCCAAAGTGAAGGGAGAAACGGCATGTGGGCGCAACCACTGGTGCCTTCGGTGGAGCTCCGTATGGGGACACGAAGCGTGTGATAGGTGTGCCAAGGTGAGGGGGGTGGCAGTGTGGAGGCATGCGAGCGCAGCCGCTGGCGCCTTCGGTGGAGCTCCCGATGGGATCACAAAAAGTGTGAGGAGTGTGCCAAAGTGAGGGGGGTGGCGGCATGCGAGCGCAGCCATTGGCGCCTTCGGTGGACATCCGTATGGGGACACGAAACGTGTGAGGGGTGTGCCAAAGTGAGAGGGGTGTGACGTGAGGAGGGGGAAGCAGGAAGAGGAGGAGACGAGGGAGACACGGGGCGCTCTCTCTTCAAAACGAGGGCCCAACACCACAGGATAGTTGTGAAACATGCGACATTGCGCAAAGTCACGGCCAGAGCCCCAGACCCGATTTTCCTGCGCCATTTCTCGAGCGGGACCGATCTGTGAGAGTCTGGGGGCCCGAATCTGAGCGAACACGCCTAGGAAGAAATGGGATCCTGCGCGTGACGACGCGGCGACATTCCCTGAGAGCCTGGCGTCTCTCCGAGCCAAGCGTTTGCGGCCAGATTCGGGCCCTGGGGCCCTGACAGATCGATCAAGCTGGAACAATGACACAGAAAAATCCCACCAGCCCTCTGGGCGTAGGTGGTTTAGAGAGTTTCCTCTTCCATCTTCCCTCTTCCCCTTCGGGGAGGGGTTTACCCCTCCCCCTACCCCCTCCCCTGGACCTGGACGGGGGCGGGGCGCGAGGGGTTAGAGCGTCCAAGATGGCCCAAGACGGCTCCAAGTGGGCCTCGGAGAGCCCAAGATGAGCTCCAAGATGTCTCAAGCTAGCCCAAGATGCCTCCAGATGGCCCCCAAGATGCTCCAAGAGGCCCCAAGACTGCTCCAAGACGGCTCCAAGTGGCCTTGGAGCCTCCCAAGGAGGCCCCCCAAGAGGCCAAAATGGCCCCCAAGACGTCCCAAGACGCGTCCAAGAAGCTCCCAAGAGACATCTGGAGAGACTCCGAGAGGCATCCAAGAGGCCTCTGGCCATTCTGCTCGCCCTTTCCTTCATCTTCCTCCTTCTCACTCTCCTCATCGTCCCCCTCATCCGCCTATTCCTTCTTCTCCTTCCTCCCTCCTCCCCCTTCCCCCCCTCCTCCTCCACTTCCTCCTCCTTCTCATCCTCCTCCGATTCGTCCTCCATCCTCCCCCTCTTGGAGTAAGACGGGTCCCCAGCCCTTTGAGACTCTGTATGCTCCCTCACTTCCCTGATCACTTCAATTCCCCTGGGCATCATTTCTGGATGGGCTGGTGGGGATACTTGTTTGGTTCGTGGCTCCAAAGCAAATGTCAAGGAACAAACGCAGCGTCCGGGATGCGGTACGGAGCGAACTTGCGTACAACCGTCACTGTCGACAGCCGTGCGCATCTGCAAGACTGGTGGGGATACGCGAAGCGTCTAGAATTGGCTCTGGCGCTTCGGTTGTGATGTTTAACGATGTTGCAAATTGTGCGGCTGCGTGCTACGTCGGATGTCAAGGCTACACATGACGACGCGGCGATCGTTCAGCAGTGGCTTACCCGGGCCGCCAACGCTTCCGCCAGACTTTCTCTTGGCATCGTTCAGGTTGCCCCACTCTGGAAGGCCCAACTCAGGTTGCCGAATTCGGGCTGCTCGCTCAGGTAATCGCATGAGGCCCAGAAAGGCCCAGCGACCTCGATACTCACTCCTTTTTCGCCAAACTGCTCATGGTCGTAATCATTCGACCTCTACCTTGGTCGTGCTGATGTGCTCGGCGCTCGGATATTCCATTCCGCGACGTGTTCCAAACGACTCTACTCCTCCACCACTGCCCCAAGAACCACGCGCCCTGGCCGCCGTCGGTCGTTCTTTGCGGCACAACCAGACATCTCAGGAAAGACAGAGGAAGCATGCAATGGAAGCCTGCTCAAACCTGCCCCAACTCACGCGCTAAGCCAGGACTTAGAACCTCAACCGCAAAGGCGCTTCAGGTCATGGTCGTCGCTCAAACCTGTCCTCTCTCACACTTGAAGCCCAACAATTTTCGACGCGACGACGCCGACGCCCACGCCAACGCCGCCACCGCCGACGCCAACGCCGACGATGAGTGCGACGGTGACGGCGACTGCGACGATGACGGTGACGGCGACGAAGACGACGACGACGACGGTGATGTCAGCGGCGGCGGCGGCGGCGCACCTGTCGCCAGCGCCCGCGATCCTACTCGGGCCCTGCTATAGTCTACCATGTTCTACCCTACTCTAACCTACCCGACGTTCCTCTACTCTACTCTACTCCACTCTGCCCTACTCTACTCTACCCTACTCCGCCCTACAGTACCCTAACATGCTCTGCCCTACTCCACTTTGCTCTTACTCTACTTCAATGTACCCCTTCTCTGCTCTGCTCTTCTCTACTTTACTCTCATTCCCTTTACTCCATTCTACTCTGCTCGACTCAAATCTAATCTGCTCGATTTTGTCATACCCAACTCTACCCTACTCTACCATACCGTACCCTACATACTCTACTATACTCCGCTTTGCCTCTGCTGTATTCTACTTCTGCTCAACTCTTACTCTGCTCGGTCTTCTCTACCCGACTCCTTCCCTATTCGTATATGATCTACACCTCCCTACTCTACTCTACGCCTACTTTACCCTACTCTGCTTTACCCTACCGTACCCCACCCTTCTCTACTCGACTCTACTCTACCATCTACTCTGGTCTACTCTGTTCTACCCTGCTTGCCGACGTCGACGTCGTCTTCGTAGTCTTCGTCGTCGTCGTCATCATCGTCGTCTGGGTCGGCGTCGTCGTTGTCGGCGTCGTCGTCGGCGTTGTCGACACCGTCGACGTCGTCATCGTCGTCGGTGGCGTGGTCGTCGTCGTCGGCAACGCCGTCGTCGTCGTCGGCGTTGGTGTCGTCGGCGTCGTCACCGTCGTCGTCGTCGTCGTCGTCGTCGTCGTCGTCGTCGTCGTCGTCGTCGTTGTTGTTGTTGTTGTTGTTGTTGTTGTTGTTGTTGTTGTTGTTGTTGTCGGTTGTCGTCATCGCCGTCGCCGTCGTCGTCGTCGAGGTCGGCATGAGCGTGGCGTCGGCGTCGGCGTCGGCGACGTCGTCGTCGTCGTTGTCGGCGTCGTCGTCGTCGGCGGCGTCGAGTTCGTCGTCGTCATCGGCGTCGTCGTCGTCGTCGCCGTCGTCGTCGGCGTTGGCGTCGTAGTCGTCGTCGTCGTCGTCGTCGTCGTCGCTGTCGCCGTCGCCCCGCGTCGTCGTCGTCGTCGCTGGCGTCGTCGTTGTTGCCGGCGTCGTCACCGTCGTCTTGCGTCGTGCGTTGTGCGTCGTGCGTCGTCGTCGTCGTCGTCATCGGCGTCGTCGTAGTCGTCGTCGTCGGCGTCGGCATCGTCGTCGTCGGCATCGTCGTCGTCGTCGTCGCCGTCCTCGTCCATGTCGTCGTTGTCGGCATTGTCGTCGTCGTCGGCTATGGCGTCGTCGTCGTCGTCGTCGTCGGTGTCGTCGCCGTTGTTGTCGTCGTCTCCATCACCGTCGTCGTCGTCGTCGTCGAGCCTCGTCGTCATCGTTGTCGTCGTCGTCGTCATCGCCAAGCGTCCTCGTCGTCATCGTCGTCGTCGGCGTCGTAGTCATCGTCATCGTCGTCGTCAATGTCGTCGTCGCCGTCACCGTCGCCGGCGTCGGCGTCGGCATCGGCGTAGGCGTCGTCGTCGTCTGCGTCGTCGTCATCGTCGTTGACGTCGTCGTCGGCGCCGTCGTCGTCGTCGTCGTCGGCGTCGTCGTCGTCATCGGCGT